TTCAGGCCACTATCAATGACAAATTCTTCCACCCTTTGTGCAGACACAACCGCCCATCAACGCTTACACTGTACTTGGCTGGTTTAAGGTATCCATTACCAAGAACAACTTCAAGAATTCCTTTCTTCTTGAGCCGCACATACCTAACAGCTCGCTGAGGAATTTTCTGTAAAAAAAATAATAAAACTGTTTGAGAATGAAACTAGCAGTACAATTCTCATGTTTTGAACAGAGATAGATGAAGTGCACAACAGTCCAACAAGTAGTACATATAAAACATTTTCAATATGCAGTATGGAACTTACAAATATGCAGTTCTCTTCGAACAATCATGCAGTGTTATAGACTAGCTACATATAGTACACACCATACAAAATTGGAAAAAATGTAGAAATATGAAGTGCTCAGCTAATATATAAGCAGTTCACATATTCTAACCTGTAAACTAAAACATAAGCTACATGCACACGAGGAAAAAAATAAGAAAATAAGAACACATTGCAGTACACTTCAAAAAACACAAAGAAAAAAGTGTGTTCCTAAAATACTACAAGTTCAGGATACAATGGAATTATACAAAAAACACTAAGAAAAAAAATCATATGTAACGAAACATACCATCTTTTAGTGAGTCTCCACATCTGTTGGCGTAAGCTGATGGACAAAAGGACTCGTGCAGCCAAGGCCACGGCGAAGCAGCACAGAATAGAACGCAGATACGTTGATCTGGCCCATATCCAATCCTTCTGTGAATACTGTACCATATGCAAGCTGCTCGGCTCGCCCTGTTCGGCACAATACCTTCCCACCACGACGAGCACGACGGGCCTGCGAGCAAGCTAAACAATTGCAGTACGTCAGCACACCACAACCATGGCCACAGCAGAAGAGATACGCATAGGGGCCTGGAGCCATCGCAACAAAAACCTAGAGAATGGAGAGAACTTGCGCCTAGAGGAGAAAAATGAAATGCAAACGAAGGGTATAAGTTAGCCTTCATTTATATAAGAGGAATGCAAAAAGGTCAAAACTGAAAATTAAAGGGGACTTAATGGAAATTATGTTCCCAAGAATAAAGGACAATCAATGAAAGCTTATGTTACCAAAGAAAGAGGAACGGAAAAAGAAGGTGTACTTTGACTGCAGAAATTCCCACGAACAAAACCACAGATCATTAAAAAATAATACTCTGAAAAATTATAATCCACGGACCATTTTATGTGTGCAGTTCTCCAAATTCGTACCAGGTAGTTCACTATATGTGTGCATGAAGTGCAGTACGTGCTTTTTGGCACAAAGAAGGATGCACGCAGTGCAAGATGTGTACACCTGCAGCACAGAACTATGACGAATGCAGTGCACACCCGTACACTAAGAAAAAAGGATACGAAAGAGGAAAAACAATAAAGAAAAATGATACAAATGCAGTGCACAAAAATGTAGCCCAGAAATTGTGCAGTACGGTATGTGTGCACATGCAGTACTGAAACTAAATCAATGCAGTGCACGCATGATTTACTAAAAAAATTGACCACCCAGGTGCTACCGACCCCAGCCAGTCTCATAATAGGTCTGCACCCACAGAAGGGGAGTCGTTCTGAGCCACAGTGCATGTGGCCGGTTGCACGTGGGCCCATAGGTCATAGAGCATATAGCTACGAGCGCCGTGTATAAGCACCCAGATAAGTATACGGAGGAGTTCGACCAGTATGCCTCGCCAACGCTTATAAACAGGTCGGGCGCGCCTTCCGCGGGCGAGGTGGGACTAAACATTAGGACGCACACACGGCGAAACGGGAACCAAGCCATGCTCACAGGCCGACTTGGACCCAAGTATGTCTCTAAACTAGACGAACAAAGGCCCAACAAGGCCGACTAAGAAAAAACAATAAGTTAAAAAAATGGCCCCCCCACCCCCCCTTTCCCTACCCCTCCCGTACCAGTGATTGCAGTAGGTACAAGCAAAAACAAGATGCGGTACGTAGCTGTAAACAATACAGTGCACTACGTTACACGATGCAGTGCGGTATGGCAATCTAGTTCCCGATTACCCCTACACGAATAAATAAACTCAAAAAACAGTGAAGTACGCACATGTATACACAAGTGCAGTACTGAATTCTAGATGATGCTGTGTAGGACTATATACTAATGCAATTCATTATCGCACATGATGCATCTACAAAACGTAACAAAATGCCCGTTCGCATAGAAAAAAATGGTGGTTAAAAAAATGTGCTGATAAAAAAAACCACCTTAAAAAACCCCACGTTCGCATACATACACCCGATCGGAGTAGTTCCATCGCCACAAGCCCACGATCATAGATGCAAAACCAACCCACGATCTGCACAACCGCATCATCAGCGCGATCGTGCAGTTCATCTGACAAGGCCATACCACCCGCGCCCTCCCCTTAAATTCAGACCCCTGCCAAAGGCCTTCTCATCCACAACAACACGAGTATCCATTGCGCTCCCACCAAAAGCACAAAGCCCTGCCACCGGCGATGACGTTCACCGACGAGTACAAGGGCGACAACGCCGTGGAGGCGCACGGCAACACCAAGTTGCACGTCATCCACACCAACGACAAGAAGCAGATGGCGATCACCCTCGCGCAGTACGAGCGCCACCTCAGCCTCCAGCGCCACAAGATCGTCGGCATTGATCTCGAGTACGACAACGACCCTGAAGCGACGCAGAAACCCGCCCTCTGCCAGCTCTCCATCGGCAAGAATCACTCGGTGCTGCTCTTCCAAATGAGCGACACTGAAAGGTGCACCGTCTTCGACAACTTCCTCGCCGACCCCAGGTACACCTTTGCAGGCTTCTCCATCGACGGCGACAAAACCAGGCTGGAGCGCGTCAAACTGGAGGTCGCCAACTTCGTCGACATCCAGAAGGAGTGGAGGGTGCCCGACGCAACCAAGCCGTTGGACTCCCTCGGAGACGTCTCCAGCGTGCTCATCGACGACTACTACAACAACGTGAAGAAGAAGATCACCGACGCCGAGCACCAGCGCTGGGCCCATCCTGCCTCTGTCCAGGAGGCACATCGAGTACGCGGCAAAGGACGCCTACACAGCGTACGAGATATGGAACTGCATCACCCTCACCCAGGACAGCCTTCGCCGTGCAAAGCTGGAGAAGGAGGAGCCACCCAAGAAGCGCGCCAGGAGCAGCTGGGGATGGGGAGAGCCTGACTGGTGAAGAAGAAGATGGTGCCGGCCAGGAGCCAAGAATGCCAGCGTTCTTTTAGAATTATCATCAAATTTGCTTTGTGTTGTTTGCTTATGTATCGTTAGTTTGCTTGTGTGCTGAACCTAGTTTGCTTGCCATGCACAATCGCATGTAATGATGAACTCAGATTATGTTAGTTTGCTTTCTGTTCAACTTAGCTTGCTGGTGATGAAATTGTCATACAGAATGCAAACAGGACGCATGCAGTGCAAGTTGCGCACGAATGCAGTACACTGAATTTGTAGAATGAAGTCTTAACATACCCAACAAAGTAGTGCACGAACATAAATTTGAAAAAAAGAATACATAAGAGCAAAAACACAAATAGAAAAACGCAAAACACGTAAAATAATTCAATACAGTCCGGAAGTACACGAAAGTATAGCACAGAACCATAATGAGTGAACTACAGGTATGATTTACAAAGCAATGCACTCCCATACATTGGGAAAAAAGATTAAATGATAGCAAAAAGACAGAAACAAAAAAATGACAATTGTACATGCAGTACGCAATGCGTAAACAATGCAGTACAGAACCCTGATCAATGCAGTGCACACTCCAACATTGAAAAAAAACACAGGGGAGAAATATAAAAAGAAAAAAAATTGACCACCCAGGTGGCACCGGCTCCAGCTAGTCTCGTAATAGGTCTACGCCCACAGAAGGCGAGTCGTTCTGAGTCACAGTGCATGGGGCCGGTTGCACATGGGCCCACAGGTCATAGAGCATATAGCAGCGAGCGCCGTGTATAAGCGCCCAGATAAGTATACAGAGGAGTTCGACCAGTATGCCTCGCCAGCGCTTATAAACAGGTCGGGCACGCCTTCCGCGGGCGAGGTGGGACTAAACATTAGGACGCACACACAGCGAAACAGGAACCAAGCCATGCTCACAGGCCGACTTGGGCCCAATTACATCTTCACTACCCGAACACACGGCCAACAAAGCCCACTAAGAAAAAACAATATGTTCAAAAATAAAACATTAAAAAGAAAAATGACAAACATATTTTAAATGAATAACAACAAACAAAATAAAATGTGCGTCGGCACTGTAAGAATATTAATAAATAAAACGCAGGAAGCCCAATGTCAACGTACAGATGCAGTCAGCGACGTACAACAACGTAGTTCTCCACGTGGAAGCACAAACTATTTTTTTCTGAATTGCAGTTATCTTCGCTCTGCAATGCAGTATGGCTGGAATAATAATGCAGCCCTGTTACTTAACCAAAACACTCCGACAACCCCTAGCCACATTACCCTCCATCCACAAAAACGTTGTATTACCACAAAGATCAAGAAAAGAAAAGAAAGAACACCATCAAGAGAAGAAAAAAAGTACATATGTGTGAATCAAACTGCAGTACACTACGTGGACCTGAGCAGTTCGTTTCTGATAGAAAATAAGTGCGCTAACTTGGACAATTGACCGAAAACACAATCATCACATTTTCTGACAGTTGCGTCAATACATTGATCTAATCACGAAAAAAGAGGCGACGACATTCCGGATTTCCAACGCACTAGCAAGAGCCTCCTCATAGCAGAACCTCTCAGCAGTTGCCACGTAAACTTAAAACAGAGCCCCACCATGCTACTGCCCCGCTCCACCTCTCCCACGTCCTGTCAAGGAGAGCAGAGGAGAAAACGCAACTGCTTCGTCCCCCCAAAAAACCCAATTGCATCTTCTTCTCCGCTCTTCCTTTCACTAACCTCTCTCTCTATAACAAACACCAGAGAACACACGAGAATCATGGAGGATGCACCTCTGTGCAAGCAGTGCCGCAAGTACACCAGGGAGCTCCACGACGTCCACCTCCACGGCAATCACAAGATCCACGTCCTTTGCACAAGCAAGGGCAAAGACGTGGACAAGATGTTGTCCACGTTCAGGAGGAAGCTCGGCGGAATGCCCGTCAAACTAGTCGGCGTTGATGTTGAGTACACACACTACGAGAAGCCACAGCGTGCAGCGGTACTACAGCTATGCGTAGAAAAAGAATGCCTTGTCTACCACATATCTGCAGCTAAAGACAGGTAAGAATAACTATTGCTTGCCAATATTGATTATAAATTTTCTTCACTGCAATTGCCATAATATTTAACCTTTGGTTCTCATTCTTGAAAAAGCGTGGCATATGAATTTATTGACAGTTTTGATCTGGCTCCATGTATGTCACTCATGTGTTCAATTCTTGAATTATATTATCTAGCAATACACGCAGTTTAATTATAGTTTCTTCACTGCAACATTACCATACAAAACATGTATGAAATTAGGTTCAGGAATACAAGCATACACAAAACATGCATTATTTATGCAATCTATTATCAGATTTAATAGTTATGCTGAACAAAGTATTAGCAACTGCTCAATGCAACAGATTCAGGTATCCATATTGCAGTTCAGTTTCAGAAAAACACAAAAAAACATTGCTAGTTCTAAAGAAATAAAATATATTCACTCTATACAAATATATTGCAGGCCAATGGAACTAGACAAATTCCTGATGAATGATGAGTACACCTTCGTCAGATTCGCTATTGAAGGAGACAAAAGCAAGCTGAAGGTATCTGGTTTGGAGATCAACTCCAACAACTACATTGATATTCAGGTGGAATGGAGAGACCCATACAATAAAAATAAGTTTGACTCTTTGGCTGATGTTGCTGGCAGGATGATAGACATTCACTACAATGACATGAAGAAAAAAATTAACCGCAAGTAGGACCATACTCTGTGGGAATTTTGCCCGCTGCCAAACAAGCTTATCAAGTATGCAGCAATAGATGCATTCGCAACATATGAGTCATGGAGAATCATCTACTATGTCATAATGGGACTGGACAGGGCAAAAAGAGACAAAGAAGAAAAGAAGAAGAAGAACAAGGCTGTAATCCAATACAGCAACTAGAAAAAATCAGGGTTGTGTTTAGTCTCACTTTACTTTAAGCGTTGTGGTGTTCTTTGTTTCATGTATGCAAGATTTTGATAATGTCCATTGCTTCATATCGAACATTTCTTTTATAAAAACAATGTAAGTTTGCTTGTGATCAATTGCTTTCGCAGAAATTAGTTTGCATTAGAACAAGTATATACACAACTTTGAAAAATTTAATGAGTGACACCAAAACATAGTATGCACATAGAAAACATAACAGTCCACAAAAAATAGTAATTATATAAAAATGAAAATTAATATTGATATATCTAAAAAAATATAATCCGTGTACATTTCTAAACAAACGTCAATACAGTTCACAGAACGAACATAAGGCAGTTCAACAAGTGTATCCGTGAAGTGCAGTACATGCATAAATGAAGAACGACAAGGGCCCCAACACACACACTTGCTACACGAAGTGCAGTACTCAACGTTGGTGAAAGCAGTACAAATGACAAGGGCCCCAACACATAAATGAAGAACGACAAGAGCCCCACCCCCTGCTCGGCCTCGCGCTAACGCACGCAGTGTGCTTGGTTCACAGGCGCAGTGCGGACATTCTGTTTTTTCCATCAAAGGGGACGCGCGCAAAACCACCACCCCCCCC